TGCTTTATAGAGTGGGCCAGTTTTCCAAACCAAAATAAGGCTTTGTTTTTTTGTCCACTCTATAAAGCATTAAAATCAATCGCTATTTTGAAATGAAAAAGTTTCCTGGATGGGAACCGAAACGTCTTCAAACTTGGAAACAAAGTCCATTGGATTGTTAACTTTTTTTTAATGAAGCTGATAACATTTCATGAGCACATGAGGACACGAGAACGCAGTACACCGATTGAGAAATGGCCATTGTTCTTTCTCTCATATTTTATCCTCCTCTGCAGTTACCAGTGTTGTTTACGTCAAGGATGATGAAATTATTTCATTGAGGCTCCTTTTTTCATGATGATAACCAAACGGATGAGCTTCATAGTAGATCAGGAAGTGTTTTTGCATTTGGATGAAAAACTTCTATGTCTAAAACCATTCCTTTATTTTAATTATTTTCTACCTTCTTGTATGAGACACTATTGTATAAAGTAGGGCATTTATTCATAAAAAAAATTTTATTTGAATTCTTTACATCAAAGTTTTTGTCATGAAGACGAAAACCAAGACTTAATCTAAGATTGCTGTAAAATATAACACTGGCAGTTACTCAGTGCTAGATTCTCTTCATTTATTTATGTAAGTATCTTAGTGTCTATTTCTTGCGGTTCTTAAGTTCCCTGCCCTTTTCAGTCTGGGTTTATGCGTCTGTTCCCATCAACTTCATCATTAAATCTACAAAAAACCATCTCTGCTTCTGTCTCTGCGTTTGAGTCCTCTACAAACAAACATTCACTAAGGTGCTTTCTACAAACCTTTAAAAGCATTCCCAACTTTATTCTTTTTCTAAATTGTTTTCTCTATTTTCCATTTTGTTTAAAAAAAGCTTTTCTCTTCTACCTCCTTCACTAAAACAGTGGTCAATCCACAAAGCATTCTCATCTCCTAATTTTCATACTTGATAATACAATGTCAATTTACATGAGAAAACAGAGTTTTAGGATTTATGGATTTGGTGCTATAATCCAATGTAAACAAACCTCCTCATCACTTGACAAGACAGGTAGAGCAGACATTACAGCCTCCATGTTGGAGGGAGGGAAG